GGGAAAAGACAGTCTCTTCAATGGTGTGGGAAAACTGGATATCCACATCCAAGAGAAGAAAATGAGACCCCTATTTTATACTATACACAAAAATCAACCCAAAATACATTAAAGGTAAAACCCCAAACTGTAAAACTCTCAGAAGAAAACATAGGAGGAAAAGTCCCTAGACATTAGTCTTGGCAATAATTTCATGGATATAACACCAAAACTACAGGCAACAAAAACAAAAATAAACAGTACACCAAACTAATAAGCTTCTGCATATCTGAGGAAACAATCAACAGAGAAAAAAGGAAACCTACAGAACAACCAACCTACAGAATGGTATTTGCAAACCATATATCTGATAAGTGGTTAATATCCAAAATACATAAGGAACTCCTACAACTCAAAATTCAATAGTAAAACAAAAACAAACAAACAAAAATCCCAACTGATAACCCAATTTTTTAAACAGGCTGAGGACTTGAATAGATATTTCTCCACAAAAGATTTAAAAATGGCCATTAGGTATATAAAAAGTTTTCAATGTCTCTAAACATCAGGGAAATACAAATCAAAACAACGACTATCACTTCACACCTGTTAGAATGGTTATTATGAGGAAACAAGACTACAAGTATTGGTGAGGTTGTGGAGAAACTGAAACTCTTGCACACCACTGGTGGGAGTGCAAGGTGATGCAGCTGCTGTAGAAAATCATATGGAAGTTGCTCAAAAAAATAAAAATAAAAAAAATAGAGCTACCATATGATCCAGAAATCCCACTTCTGGATATTTTACCTTTGAAACATTTAGGAGTGCTAATATATTGTTTGTTTGTTTTTGAGATGGAGTTTCACTCTTGTTGACCAGGCTGGAGTGCAATGGTGCAGTCTTGGCTCACTGCAAACTCTGTCTCCTGGGTTCAAGCAGTTCTCATGCCTCAGCCTCCTGAGTAACTGGGATTATAGGCACGTGCCACTATGCCCAGCTAATTTTGTATTTTTAGTAGAGACGGAGTTTCTCCATGTTGGTCAGACTGGTCTCAAACTCCTGACCTCAGGGGATCCACCCACCTCAGCCTCCCAAAGTGCTGGGATTACAGGTGTGAGCAACCACGCCTGGGCAATATACCTTTGAGATCCTAATTTCACTTCTTTTGGTTGAGTATTTTTGCCAAAAGAAATGAAATTAGGATCTCAAAGATTTATTAGCATGCCTATGTTCACTGCAGCACTATTCACAATACCCATGATGTGGAAACAGCCTAAATGTTTATTGACAGATTAATGGATAAAGAAAATGTGGTACATATACACAATGGAAAACTATTCCGTCTATAACTAAAGGAAATTCAACAATGTGCAATGACATGGGTACGCCTTAAAGATATTATACTTAGTGAAATAAGTCAGCCACAGAAAAACAAACACAGCATGATTCCATTTATATGAGGTATCTAAAAATAGTCAAATTCATAGAATCAGAGAGCAGAATTGTGGTGCCAGGGACTGGGGATTGTGGGAAATAGGGAGTTACTAATCAATGGGCATGAAGTATCAGTCAAGCATGGTGAATAAGCTCTAGAAATCTGCTGTACAATATTTTACTTGTAGTCAACAGTAATGTATTGCACACACTTAAAAATGTTTTAAGAGAGTAGTTCTCGTATTAAGTGTTCTTACCACAATAAAATAAAATTGAAAATGAAAGAAAGATAAATCAATTCAGTGAATAAATTAATAAAAATAAATCAAGTACTCTTGAGTCCCCATGGGTGAAGTCAAGGACATATATAGATTGGGGTTTTGTTGTCACGGAGCATTTTGACTTGTATATGTGTTTACCTACTCAGTGTGTGTTACGGCATATGTTATTTCCCATTTCCTACATTTCTATTCCAGTGACTTCATGGTAAGCATCTGAAGAAATGGCGCGGCTATGCTAGTGAAGATAATATTCCTTGAAAGTACTTACTTGATATTGCAATAATTTCTCCCTACAAACATGCTAACTATAGCTCCTGAATGTATAAGAAACCATGTGGTTTGTTTTACCACGTATGTGTGCATGTGTATAAACATTTCATGTAGGAATTGGAAGCTATAATTTCTAAATTCACTAATATGGTGGCTGCCCAGCTATAGTAAATTATATGCCTTCTTCTTGGGGCCAAACCCGAAGTGCTATGTGCTACGTGATATTTAGTGCCTCTCAGGCCATAACTCTTTGATCCAAAGTGACCCACATTGGCTCAATCAGACTTTCTCCTAGAAGAATTGGGAATCTGCTGCTAAAAGACCCAACACCCCTAGAACTGAGTCATTTGACACGGTCTGTACATTTCCATGACATCTCACGTTCCCAAGACCTATCTATTCAACTGTTTCTTAGATCCTGTGAGAGTCTTCCAGATCATTTTAACAAATTCCCTATGTTTAAAGTCACTCTCTGTGATTTCTCACCAAAAGAACCTCCTTAACTAATACAGCAGTGGTGTTATAGAAAACTATCAGTATTATACTTTCCTTATTGGTTCAAATTTCTCAAAGGTAAAGGAAAAGACAGTACACCCTGAGGTTCCACTTTAATGATTTTCTTAGGTACCATGCTGTTGGATCTAACAAAACTCTAGAAGAAGAAAGTGGACTGAAGGAGCTACAGGATCTTTCATGCCAATACAGCAATTCTCTCTATATACATATATATCCGTAACATATAACCTAGTCCTAAGTGAAAAGAATGTGATGCAGTTCATCAGGTTCTTCCAGCAGTGGCCAGCCGTGCTTTGAATACCAACCGTTTTCTCAGAATCCTTTCTAGATTGAGAAACGATATACACTGTCATGTGTCCCTTAATGACGGGGATATATTCTAATAAGTGTTTTGTTAGGCAATCTTGTCATTGTAAGAACATCATAGAGTGTACTTACACAAATATAGATGGTATGGCCTACTACACACCTATGCTATATGGTATGGCCTATTGCTTCTAGGTTTCAAATCTGTACAACATGTTACTGTATTGAATACTGTAGGCAATTGTAACACAGTGCTAATTATTTGTGTATCTAAACAGATATAAACATAGAAAAAGTACAGTAAAAGAAATCTAAAAGATTAAAAATGGAGGCTGGGGGCAGTGGATCACACCTGTAATCCCAGCACTTTGGGCAGCCAAGGCGGACAGATCACGAAGTCAGGAGATCGAGACTATCCTGGCTAACACGGTAAAACCCCGTCTCTACTAAAAACACACAAAAAAAGTAGATGGGCACGGTGGCAGGTGCCTGTAGTCCCAGCTACTCGGGAGGCTGAGGCAGGAGAATGGCGTGAACCCGGGAGGCGGAGGTTGCAGTGAGCCGAGATAGTGCCACTGCACTCCAGCCTGGGAGACAGAGCAAGACTCCGTCTCAAAAATAAATAAATAAATAAATAAATAAATAAATAAATAAATAAAATCAATAAAATAAATAAAGATTAAAAATGGTACACCTGTATAGGGCATTTACCATGAATGGCACTTGCAGACTAGAAGTTACTCTGGGTGAGTCAGTGAGTGAACATGAAGGCCTAGGACATTACTGCACACTACTATAGACTTCGTAAACACTGTACACCTAGGCTACACTAAATATATTAAACAATAGTTTTCATTTTTCAATAATAAATTAACTTTAGTTAACTGTAACATTTTTACTTCTTAATTGTTTTAACTTTTTGACTCATAATAACACTTAGCTTAAAACACAAACATATTACATACCTACATAAAAATATTTTTTCTTTACATTCTCATTCTATAAGCTTTTTTCTATTTTAAATTTTTTAACTTATTAAACTTTTTTGTTAAAAACTAACTACAAACACACACATTAGCCCAGGCCTACACAGGGACAGGATCATCAATATCCCTGTCTTCTACCTCCACATCTTGTCCCCCTGGAGAGTCTTTAGGGCAACAACACACATGGAGTTGTCATCTTCTACGATAACAATGCCTTCTTCTGGAGTACCTCCTGATGACCTGCCTGAGACTGTTTTACAGCTAACTTTTTTTAAATAAGCAGGAGTACACCCTCAAATAACAATAAAAAGTATAGTCTATTAAATATATAATCCAGTAACGTAGTTGATTATCATTATCACGTATTATATACTATATATAATCACATTGCTATACTTTTATACAACTGTAGCACAGTAGGTTTGTTTATACCAGCATCACCACAAACACGTGAGTAATGCATTACATTATGATGTTACCACCACTGGGCCACAGGAATTTTTTAGCCCCATTATAATCTTAGGAGACCACCATCATATATGCAGACTGTCTTTAACTGAAACATTATTGTGTAGCACATGACTCTCTCTCTCTCTCAAATATATATATATATATATATATATATACTTTTATGTCATTGATGCTAAAGGATCTTTTAAGTGTCCTTAAAACTGACCTTTTTGTATCATATATCAAAATCCCTAGTTAGTTGAAATAATCTTACTAACAACCAATGTTTAAGGATAACTTTCAGTATCTGGTATTTAGTGATACAAACACAAGAAGAGAAATTTTAATTCTGCATGTATGAGTTAATATTTTATTTTTTAAAAGCCCCATTAAACACCTGTAAATCCCAGCACTTTGGGAGGCTAAGGCAGGTGGATCACCTGAGGTCAGGCATTCGAGACTAGCCTGGTGAAATCAACATGGTGAAACCCCGTCTCTACTAAAAATACAAAAATTAGCCAGTCCTGGTGGTGTGTGTCTGTAATCCCAGCTGCTGGGGAGGCTGAGGCAAGAGAATCACTTGATCCCAGGAGGCAGATGAGGCAGAGGCTGCAGTGAGCCAAGATCACACCACTGCATTCCTGCTTGGGCGACAGAGGGAGACTCTGTCTCAATAAAATTAAATTAAATTAAAATTAAATTAAATAAAGTAAAATAATAAATAATAACCCATGAAAATCTTTCCTCTATCTATTTTTAATAAATATGCAAGTAAAAAGACATTAAAGTTTTATTAGATTTTTCCTTTGGTAATTTTGGTTTCGATTTGAAAATGCTTAAGATGCTTAGAAAATTATCGAATCGTACTCTGCAGCAGAAAATAGTAAAAGTAACTTAAACTTGCAAGTCTTGTGTGTTATCAGTGGCACCAAATGTATCCATGAAACTGCTCTGCTCAGGATGATGGACAAAAGAACTCATCTTCACCATCAGCACTAGACTCTTCCCCAGCCTCCACTGAGCATACCTGTTGGCAATCCTCCTGATTTCTACAGCAAATGAATTTTTAACAATATCCCATAAGATTTGCAATAGAATATACAAGTAGCAACAATTTTCAACAAAGCCTTTGTAGATAAGAGTGAGTCTCTTTCTGGGTTAATGGTAAGAGTCCTATGAAAGGAAATTTGCCATGGACTTCCCGAAAATGAGACTGCTCTTTTCCACGAAGAGAGACTAATAATGGCCTTTGAAACATTAACTATTTACTTAAATTTAGAGAAATTGGCGTTACCAAAAACTTTCAGCAAATAAAATTGAATCTACTTCAGAGAACAGTGATACTGGATGAAAACCATAGTTTACATTCCATCTTCAAAGTGAGATAATGCAGGAATGCCAAAAATTCAGCAGAGCCTTCTCAAGTAACAATTTTGTCCTTAGGAAACCATTGGGATTTTGAGCTGTGGAATTTTCCACCCATTTATCCTCTCATTATCTATCTTTTTTGCTTCAAATGTCAATTGACTCCTCTCACTCACAGTTGCACAAATTACAGGGCTTTTTTTTTTAATTGTCATAAAACAGATACATTATTCATCTATTCAGTTTCATCTGAAGGGAATCCAACAAAGAAGAAATTTTATTTTCCAATAAAATATTAAAGCTGCTTTACCCCACAAGAGACAGAGCAGAAATTCCATCCATGATCTATGTAAGTACAAAACTTTTTGCCTATCAGAGCATGTGTGAATTTAATTTTATAAAAATATAGACCTGTTTTTTCCTGTTATGCTTCATAGTACTTGTGTATGAATATGTAACAATTTCAGTGTTTTTATTAGTTTGTGAAGCCTTGGTACCATGATGATACCAAGAACATCCCGTGCTTTTCCTAGCAAATATTGACTTAGAAGGACACTGTTGACATTTGTGCTGCATCCTTGATAGAAAGCATGTACGTATTACAGGATTTGTTTCCCTCTAATGTAAATACAGTGGAGCAGAAAATTCAAGCAGTGATTATACATAAGTCATTACCTTTGCCTCTGGGTTACGGATTGAACTAGAACCCAGGTGAAGGTCATCATGACCCCCACTCCCACCCCCACCCCTGGCCCTTAGCAGGCGCTTCTATCACTAATGAAAAGAGGGTGTGCCAAGCTCAACACACACACACCTTTGTAACTGACAGAATCCAGCTCTGATTCATAAAAGTCCTATCTAAAAGGAAGAGAGAAATGATGTTAGCATTGACACTGGGGTACACGTCAGCTCAGTCCACAAACATAGGTAAATTATGTAAGGATAAATCTTTCTCTTTTCCAGGAGACAGTTCACCACACCCCCTCTGTAAAAGGATTGTGGGAGACACATAGGTAGTAAGGCGAAACCTTCATCTGTCTCCCAACCAACCTCTGTGTCCCCATGTTCCACCCAGCTCTCTATGATTGAATAATTAAGCCCTTAAATAGTTACCATATGTCCTTAAATAGGTACCATCAACCTCAAATGAAAACATTCAGCAAAAAAACAGATGTGGGATCAATGCTCTTGGTCCAAAGATAAAAGATACATTATGAAAAAGATAGGAATGACTTTATAAACAAAACAGAACTTTCTCAACAATCTCATTAACCAATACTCTTTCATCATAAGTGATCACGGTTATTTGGCGTCAGAAGCAAAATATGGAGAGATCTTTCTGCAGACAAGTGGAGACAAGGCACAATAAAGGGAGAGTTAGGTGTGTAAAGAAAGTGATGAAATGGACATACTTTAGTGTTTAATTCATAAGGAAGAAAATACATCAACTAAAGCAGGGATTTAACCCCTTCTGGGTGGAATGTCAAATACACATATAAACAATTACTTCTGTTCCTTTCGGCATCAAAGCACTCTATATAGTTTGAACTTTTATCTCAGTACTTGGGTTTGTTTCAAGGCTTGGTAAATGCACCTCATAAGATACTTTTATATATGAAAAGTTACAAATTCCAACGTCTGTAACTGTTTGAAAAGCTCTTTGATTCCGAGTCAAGGAAGTTACAATTTGTGATGATTCCATTTCAAACCATACCCAAACCTACCATTAAACTCACAGCCCGCATCTCAAATGGGCATCTCCCCATCTTACAAATGGGGAGAATTTCTGGGACTCACGCTTTATGGAGGGTGAGAAGGGTGGTCCTGAATTAGCTGATATTAAATGGCCCTACATTCAAACACAGTGAACCCAGACCACATTCCAACAGCATTACCCAAGTGGTGAGGCTGAACTCTTCTGCAGATGCTTTGTACACAAGACTTGATGTTTATTTTGTGACGTCACCTTCCTCTTTCCCCATTTCAAGTTGACCTTGTGTCGATTTTAACCTGGTTTTGTCTGTATAAACACAATGGGATAAAGGAAAGAACTGTAGGATTTTTGAACCTCGTATTCCTTAGTAGAGGACTTTGTATTACCTTTGACAAACGGGTTTGCTAAAACAAGTATTTTAAGAAGTGGGAGAGAGAAAGGGGGAGAGCAGGAGTGGTTATTTAGTTTCCTTGTTTTTCCCCAAGTTAAAAAGTCTTGAAGGTCTAGCTCATCTTACGTTTATATACAAATAAAGCTGATAAAAATGTGTGACTTTTGTTTATCCCTGGAAATCAAGCAAGGCAGGGAAGGAAGGGAATTGAATGTGATAGGACAGCCTAGGTCCACAGAGCATAAGAAGGATGTGAGAGGATGTGATAAATTGGTAACCATGTAGAACTAGAGCAAACCCTCAAGGTCAATCACTTCAACCTAATTGTTTTAGAGTTGAAAACTAAGGTTCAAAGAAGGAAGATCTTTGCCCCAAAACAAATAACTGAACAACTAGAGTTACTATATTAAAATGATCATTGTAAACATTTTTAATAAGAACAACAAAAATCTAAATGTAAGTAACTTATTGGCCATTTGCTAACTGTGCTACGTGGAGCAAGTTACTTAAGCTTTCTGTGCCTCAGTCTCAACATCTGCAAAATTGAGATAATAATGGTGTCTATTCATAGGCTTGCTGGAAAAATTAAATCAGTTAATACCTGTAAAGTGTCTAGAACAGAACCTGGAAACAATAAGTGTTTGATAAACATCAAGTGTTTATTATTATTATTACCACCACTGCTACTGATTTCAGACAAGCCTTTCTCAAGTAAGTGAGATTTTGTTGATAAACTGGAAAATTCAATCCATTGTAGATTGGAATGTTGCCGTGACATGAACATCAGTTTTAAGGATACACTAGGGCAGAGTCCAGCATCAGCTTAAAGCCAAACAAATGAGGGAAGTAGAGACAGTCTTAACTCCGTGACTAATACTCATTTTTAAAAATACTTAAATATCAATTTTTATGTTGCATTTTTAAAAACCCCAAGAATGGAACTGAAAACCCAACCTTTTTAAAGTCTGTTTCAATTTTTAGAAGCCTTGACCAAGCCACTCTCTCTTACTTGGTGGTTTCCATATATGGTGTAAATAACAAACTTAACTAGGTGTGGTGTCTCATGCCTGTAGTCCCAGCTAGTTGGGAGGTTGAGGTGGGAGGATCAATTGGGCCCGAGAGGTCAAGTCTGCAGTGAGCCGTGATCATGCCACTGCACTCCAACCTGGGCAACACAGTGAGACCCTGTCTGAAAAAAATAAATAAATTAAATTACATAAAATAAATAAATAACAATCTTTACCTGAATTGTAAAGATTAAATGTACTTGAAAGCATTTCTGGGTTATAAATTTTACAGAGAATTGTACATTCTTTAAATGCACCATGCATTACAATTATAAAATATTTATCTTACCTTGAGATCACTGGGGGGCAAAATGTCATTTTTGGTTTTTTCCAAGTACTTAGCATTGACCATGGAATTAGCATATGTAATCAGAATATTCATGGAAAATCTGTTTAAAAGAAAGAACTCCGAGCTGGGAATTGGAGGTCTGGGTTTTAGCCCCAGTTTTCTCATGGACACCTTCATATAGCTCTGGACAAGTCATTTAGACTTCTTGGCACCATTTCCTTTTCTGGAAAACACAGGGTGCATTAGCTGATCTCTTACCCTCTAATTCTACAATTCTAAACGTCATGCATATGTTTGCATGAATCCATGAGTCACTAAAACCTAATCAATTTCAGAAAATTATTTAATAAACAAAGTGTCTTATAAGCAATTTAAGAGATCTTGGAACTGACTTTCAAAACATTGCATAATTGTGTTCAGGCAAAGATTTCAAACCCAGAAGAACATCTTGGAATTGTTTCATCATTCTGCAGTGGAGAAAGGCTGGGAATTCACATATTCACACTCATTTAAACATCTCTCATTAATCTCTGAGGGCACTTAATAAAGATAAAAGGGTATTGCTTCTTTCAAAATGAAATGAAAATATAAGAACATGCTATATTTCTATAACATTCTCAGCATCTCACAATGCTGTAATAGCAATGTTACCTTTTTAAAATTTCTCTCACTTCTGATTTGATCAATGTAACAACTTTGTGAAAGAGGCTAGACCCAGGAATTATTGTACCCATATTACAAATAAATATCCTGGGGACGAAATAAAATAACTTGCTTCCCACTTGGAGCTGCTGGTCCTCACATTTGGATCTCCTAACTCAGATGACACCTGACCCAGCTGAGGAGTGACCTCTGCACTCCAGCTCATATGCACGTCGACCACGTGCCTGCCGCATCACTGTGAGCAAGATCAGTCCCTAATAAGCCCTGGCTCAGCTCCCTATCAGAAACAAAAAGTCCTCCTTCTACTTTCCACCCCAAGTCACTGTCTGGGAACCTCTACAGAACTGAAAGGGTGCAGCCCTTTTGAAGGACTTCCATGAACAAAAATGTTCCCAGATAAGAACAATAGACTTATTGATGGCCAGATCTGAACCTGCTTACCATGCTCTGTGTTTCTCCCCATAAATGCTTTTCCCATAATCCAGTGGCTGCTGTGGGAGAGTTGTCCAGAACACTTTCATCAGGGCTATTTTTTCATCCTATGATTTTGGTCATCATGCAGTTTATTTTTTAAAAAAGAGCAGCCAGGAGTAAATCATGTCCTAGAGAAAGAAAAAAAAAAAATCCTACAAGGTTAAAAACATTTTATATTCATGGGAATAATTAGGAAAATTCTAGAATTATACCTGTTAGCCAATTAAGGAGTGACCAACTTCAAATCACAAATACAGGTTCCTGAAAACAACATGTAATTTTATGTAACTGACTTCCGGCCTGGGGATAGAAACAAGACCATAATGCATTTGAAGGGCCTGCCCAGGGCTTGGTTGGTAACTGGAATCCAGCAGAGCTGGTGGGCTTGGAAGGAAAGGATTACACAGAGATTAGCTACACCAAAACATGCCTGTGTTTGCATAATATTTATGTTTCTGCCCTCATAATGGCTTCATTTCATTTATTCTCCAAACTGAATAGCAGAGACAACTACTCATTGTGGTACACATGGTTACATTGCTCCTTTTGTCAATTCCACGAGAAAATCATTGTCACTTTTCTCTGGCTATTGAAAACAAAATAAACATAGGTCTGAATCTTTGACTCATTTTTCACTTAGAATGGAAGATATTGGCTGTCAATATATCATTTCACTTAATTCAGATCCACAAATATTGAGAAACTTCTATGGATAAGCCATCATGATAAGTGCTTCAGGGACCTAAATCTG